AGCTCCGCGCGGACCTCTTCGGATCGCCGCTGGACTGGCGCGCCGGGGGCGGCGGGGCCCAGCGCCCATCCCAAAGAGCCCCGTTCGGAGCTCCGCCAGTGTACGGTCGACTAGACGTAAGAGTGACCTTTCGCCGGAGTGACCTGTGGTGCGGGCACGGATGGGCCCTCAGATGGCTGAAAACGAAGCGGTAGCAGCGGCTTGCGCGCCCAGGTTTGGTCCCCCCGCGGCCCCCAAAAAGCCGCGCACCAAAGGTCACTCTTACCCAGGGTCACTCTTGCGTATAGCCGAAAAGAGCCCCGTTCGGAGCTCCGCAAGTGTACGGCAGGTCTAAAGTCGGGCCTGCCCCTCCAGAGGAGGAATCGTCAACAATAGTCCAAGAGAGTAGTCTGGGGACGGCATAGCATCTCTGGACCATTTTCGTGTGTTCCTGGTCATTTTTATTTTTCGTCCAAGATCCCCCTGTAGGAGGACAGGCCCGACTTAGGGTTAAGTCGGGCGTGTCCCCCTACAGGGGGATTTTGCGCGGAAAAAAACACAAAAATAGTTCAAAATGGTCCAAAATATTCAAAAGATAGTCCCCATATTATTTTTGGGCTATTTTTGGATTATTTTTGGGGGTATCTGTTATTTTTCGTCGAAGCTCCCCCTGTAGGAGGACAGGCCCGACTGAGGGGCAGGTCCGTGTCGCGTCGACGTGGCGGCGACCCCAGCGCGGGCGCTCGAGGTCGAACGCCGCCGGTGACTGCGGAGCCGCAGATGTAGAACGACCCGGCGGCCGAAGGGCCTCCGATCGTTCGATGACGGGCCTGCTTTCCACCACCACCATGGTTTGGAGGGGGGAGGGGGTCCTCCCCCTCGTCTCCGTCCTCCTCCTCATCCTCCCCCGCCTTCCGCCCTCCAACTCATGGTGGTGGTGGAAAACAGGCCCATCATTCAAGGTTCAACGGTCCACGCGGTGGCAGAAACCGGCGCCTCGGTCGTCACGGCACGAGTCTGCCGTGTGTTCGCGCAGTTGTTTGTTCCCCCAGTCTCCTGTTGCCACGCCTGGGCGCCGCGTTCCCGGGGGCAGGTTCACGTACGCCGACGGCGCCGTGTTCGAGGGCCAGTGGGTAGAGGACGCCGCCGCGCGCCGTCGCCCCGAGCCGATGTGCTCCTGGTCAGCCCGCCAGCCCCGGGGTGTCCCGGGCCTCCCAAATTGGGTCCGAGCGGCCGGGGTCGGATGGCCACGCCGCATCTTCGATGCATCGTGATGCGGCTCGATGCGGAGCCCGGTTTTCTCCACGCCGACAGCGCCGATGCATCACCGACGTCGCCGGTGCATCGCCGTTGGCAATGTGGCGCGATCCTTCGACCCCATCTACTCGGACCCCATTTGGGGGGCCTCAAGGTATGACTGGCCAGGATCCATCTCGATTCGATGGATCCGGTTCGATGTCGCTTGAGGCCGGTCCGGCCCGATTAGGTTCCCATATTCTGACGTTGTTGTGCACGATTGCATGGCGTGGTTGTGCATCTTGTCGCGGCTGCTCCTCGTCGGTTTGTATGTCGTGCCGATGCAGCCCGATCCGACAGACGTTCCAGCTTGACTTAGCTTCCCGAATCAGTGCTGGCTGATCCTGGAACGGGTAAGGGAACGGCGGAGAGGTAAGGTCGGCTGAGACCGTGCTTTGCACGGGGTGCTCGCTTGAGAGTTAACCTTACGTACAGCACCTCGCTGGCACTGCTCTCCAGTCCTGGGGCCAGGGCATTTCGGCACCATCGAGATGGGGACAGAGAGGAAGTTAACGAAAACCAGCAGCAGGTCCTGCCCAGTGTGGCCAGGATTCGCGATCGGCCGCCGCGGATGTTGTCCACTCGAGAGACAAATTGCTGTCGGTGTTGCCGCGGACGCTGTCCACTTTGGACAACATCAGCAGGGCTCCAAGACACTAAGCCAGGGAACTCGCGCCCTCACAAAGTACACGCGCTTTCCGTCCCAGTGCCAAGCAGGTAACGGAAAGAGCGAGGTACGAGTGATGACGTTCAGGTGGGGCGAAGCCCTCTAGGGAGGAGTCCACGGGAGGGGCGAGGCGGACCGGGACGGGATGTATAACGGAAAGAGCGAGGTACGAGTGATGACGTCTTGGTGGGGCGAAGCTTTTAAGGGAGGAGTCCAGGGAAGGGGGGAAGACGGGATGTAATGGCCAGCTTTCCTCGTAGCTGTTTCGAGTGAAGAAGCTCCCAGGCGGCTTCCATGGCTTGTTTTTTGTTTCCTTCCTATTTTTTGAAGTGGCGCGGCCCAAGGGCGCCAAGGCGCCCAAGCGGGCCGAAGACGGCCCACGAGGGCACCAAGACGGCCCCAAGAGAGCCTCAGATGGCCTCCGGACTGCCCCCAAAAAGCCTCAAGACGGCTCCAGAGGCCCTCCAGAGGGCCCCCGAGAGAGCCCCCAGGTGTATCAAAAACTATCCAAAACGGCCCAAGAGGCTCCAAAGATCGTCCCAAGACGGCGCAAGAGGCCCCCGAAAGGGCCCGAAAACCGTCCAAGAGGGCCCCAAGACGGCTCCAGAGGGACCTGAAACGGCCCAAAAGGGCCCCAAGACGGCCGAAGAGGGCCCCAAGAGACCCTCAAGAGAGCCCCAAGACGGCCACAGGCTTCCTAGACGCCCCAAGACGGCCCAAAGTTGTCCAAAATAATTCCCGAAGGACTCCAAAAAGGCCCCAAGAAGACCCCGACGAGGCCCAAGAGACGCTTAAGAACACCATGGCTCCCATCAGCGAGCGGTGACGTAACAAGCTCTTGACACCAAGGCTCCCCAGAGCGCGGTGACGCAAAGAGCTCGTCATACCAAGGCTCCCAAGAGCGAGCGGCAACGTAACAATCTCTGAACACCAGGGCTCCCAACGGAGAGCGGCGGCTCCCAACGGAGAGCGGCGACGTAACAAGCTCTTCACACCAAGGCTCCGAAGAGCGAAGGGTGCCATGAACCCTCTCAGGCCAGTTCCTGAAACGCTCTTTCCGTTTCCAGGCCGGCCCAGGTCTGATTGCTTTCACCCCATGCCACCACCGTGTTTTGGACCGATTTTTCGTCGACTCGAGGCCCTCGTGGCTCGTCTTTGAGCCCTCTACACTTCAAAAATGGCCTGCGGGAAGACGCCCCGGGCACGCCGGGGAGCACCGGGAGATTTGAGAAGTAGTTGATGTCAGAGCCCTGTAACAAATCCGGAGGATTGAGGACTACGGCTCGAGGGACTGAGCAAGGGACCTGAGGACACTCCAACTCGTGCCTCGCATTCACGGGTGCATCATGTTTCCCAGAGGGGTAGGATCGAAGTTTGAGGACCCAGGTTCGAGGATCGAGTTCGAGAAGGAGAGGGAAGAGCAGGAGGAGGCGGACCCAGACCTCAGACGCAGTGTAATCAAACCGCACGGGAGAGTTTCACGATGTTCGATTCACGGGGCTTTTCTTAGGCATAGGGCCGTTAAACAACGCTTCGGGGTTACAAGCCAGCATTGGGGGAAAGGTTCATGTAGCCCAGATCGAACAACACACAACACATCGTACTTCTGCGGGGAACCGAAGTCCGCGGATTCATGTTCTTTTGTTTTCGCCCTTTTCGGGCCTCTGAAAGGGGAGGGGGAGGATGAGGAGGATCGAAGGTTAAGTCGGGCACGTCCTTCTACAGGAGGAATCTTCAAACACAGTCAAAAATAGTCTTGGGACGTTTTTGTCTTCAGTATCTTTGCCGAATGTTGAATCTTGTTTGGGGAGAGTTTTGATGTTTCGTCCAGAATCCCGCTGCAGGGGGACATGCCCGACTCGAGTTCAATTTCGAGGTGAAGGCTCTGCTGTGGTCGTCGCCTTCTTCTTGGACCGTCGGGAGGCTCTCGCGCCACGCTTTAAGTCGGGCCTGTCCCCCTGGACATGGGGATTTCTGACGACAAATCACAGATGCCCCAAACATAGCCAAACAATTAAATAATCCAAGAATAGTCTGGGGACTAGTTTTCGAGTATGGTTGACCCTTTTGGGGGCCTTTCTGGGGGGGCATGTTTCAGTTTTCGTCGAACAAATTCTTGCTTTCAGTTTTCGTATTATCAGTGTTGGGGCACTTTTTGGGGGGCATTTTTGGGTGACATTTTTTTGGGGCATAGTTTCAGTCCTCGTCGGTTGGTCTGGGGGGTACTTTTCAGTTTGCAGCGTGCCGGGGGACGGGCCTTGGTGTGTGTTTGACCCTTTGGGGGGCCTTTTCGGGAGGGGGAGGAGGAGGAGGAGGAGGAGAGGAGGGAGGAGGAGGAGAGGAGGAGAGGAGGAAGAGGAAGAGGAGGAGGAGGAGGAGAGGAGGAGGCGGCTCCGGGAGGGCTCCTCCGCGGGGCTCTGGCGACTCGCCCTCCTCCGCTCTCTCCTCCTCCTCCTCCCTCCTCCCCCCTCCTCCTCCTCTTCGTCCTCCTCCTCCTCCCTCCTCCTCTCCTCCTCCTCCTCCCTCCTCCTCCTCCTCCTCCTCCTCCTCCTCCTCCTCCTCCTCCTCCTCCTCCTCCTCCTCCTCCTCCTCCTCCCCTTTCCCTCACCTTCCTCCTCCTCTCTCCTCCTCCTTCCTCTCCTCTTCCTCCTCCTCCCCCTCCTCCCCCCCCCTCCTCGGGTCGCATACTGCCCAGGGGGGAAGCCGTGCACTCGCTCCCCCTCCCTCCGCCCTCCTCCCTCCCACCCTCCCTCGGCTGCCTGCCAGAAGTGCTATTTTGGCTGAAGGTTCCCCCCTTCCCCAGCTTCCCGCGCCGTTTTTGGGGGCCCTCCGGAGCCCACAGGGCGAACCTCCGCGGGCCTTTTCCGAAGACGCGAAGGAGAAAAGCAGCACAACACAGGAATTGTCGCAGGTCCGCGCGGAGAGTTCTCGGGTCGGCGCTCGACCCCCTCCCTGGCGCGCGGAGCACCGCAAGGGGGGTTGCAGCGCCGATCCAAGAGGTCCGTTCCGGCCTCCGAGAGTTTATGTTTAGGTTGGCCTTTCTTTTTCTACTGGAGCCATGACGACCGCGGCGGCCGAGCTCGCCTCCCCCTTGGGTTCGGAGGAGAAGGACCAGCTGGCTCCCCTGGCTGCTATTGGGCCGTCGCGGGCCCGTGGCAACACCGACGTGAGCTCGCGGGCGCGCAGCAACACGGACTACAGTGGATCCTCAACCAGGACTCCCCCTGCTCCTCCTCCTCCTCCTTCTCCTCCTCTGCCTCCTCCTCCTCCTCCTCCTCCTCCTTCTCCTCCTCCTCCTCCTCCTCCTCCTCCTCCTCGTCATGGAGCAGAGGGGTCCTCAGCTTTTTCACAATTGTCGGCCTCCCTGGGCCTTCCACTGGTCTCGGGATGGTCGAAATCCGACCCAGGGTGAAGAAATCGGTCCTGGGATCAAGCTCTGCGGCCCATGACCCTGTGTCCTGGAGCCCCGTCTACTCTCGACGTTCTACAAGTAGGGCGGAAAAGACGTCTGGCCAGCTGCAAATAGACGATGGGGTGTCGGTCCAACGCCAGCGTAAATGGAGGTTGGCCAGGACAGTGTGCCGTTCAAAAATGTACGAATGGGCGTTCAAGCTTTGAGATGGCACCCACAACAAGATTCCATGTGTGGTGCGCGACAGAGACTGGGTCACCCGAAGGAACGGAAAACTCATGACTTCCAACCGTGTGCCGGGCCAATTCTGGACTGCAAAACTCGGCATCGGCATCAAGTCCCACATGTCTGACGCTACGGCGCCCACCTGCGGCGCCCACCTGCGCCGCCAGCGTCAACTGTATGTCCGATGTTCGATGTCCCCTGTTTTTCACGCCAGCAGTGCGTGAACATGTACAGTGGACCATGCCAAGAAACACACTGCTTGCCTCCAGTGTGCCCAGGGTTTCTTGGGTTTCTGTGGTTTTACTGTGGAAAGCGTGGCGTTCCCACACCAAGAATCAAGGGACGTCCCGGGGTCTCAGGGTTGGGTTTCTTGTGGAAGGTTTCGTATGGACTGGCATCCACTGTATCGGGGAAACGTAAGACTCGAGTAAGACAGAACTGGGGTTTGCCGACTTTTTTTTGACGAGCGCGTCCGGGATTTTGACGGTTCCGTTTGCGTGGGATATCTGCAGCAGGAGCCCGCATCAATTTTTTATATTGGGTCTCGTCATTTTTATAGAGGCCCCCGTCAGGCCAACCCGAGTCCCCCGTACCCGAGTCTTACTTACCAGCCTGGAACATATCCACATCCCTATGCTGGGCAGCTCCTCATCACGATGCCGATCCTAGGGATTCCCTTGTTCTTGAGGGCGCATCCCTAAGATCGTCATCGCCTTTTGGCGTGTCAATCTTAGGGATAGGGATAGGTTCGAGGCTGGTAACTTACGCCTCCCCGACGGTGTCGTCCGACGTGTGCGCGGACTTCGTGGGCCGGGCGCTCGACCCCCCGAACGGCGGCTCCAGCGCCGCCCCAGGCGCGCTCCCGCGCGCCAGGAAGACGAACCTCCAGCGCTGAGTCGGGCCTGTCCCTCTACAGGGGGAATATTTTAGAATAGTTTAAAAAATGTCGGGGGAGTATTTTGGGGGGTATTTTTGGGCATCTTTTTGAATCTTGTTTGAGTATTTCTTATTGTTCGTTCAAAATCCCCCTGTAGGGGGACAGGCCATAACAGTAACACTCAGGCCAAAGATTGTCTTTTTCTACAGGGGGAACATTCAAAAACAGTACAGAGATAATCTGGGGACGATTGGTTGCCACTCTCTGAGTATGTGTGGGGCATGGTTCGACTAGTCCCTGTCTCTCGTCCGAAATCTCCCTCTAGGGGGACGTGCCCGACCAAAGTCCAGCGCCAGGATGAATCGCTCCAGAGCGTTCCGGGACGCTCGCAGAACGCTCCAGAGCGCTGTGGAATGGCCGCGGCGCCCGATGCTCCAGAACCGCCGCATCCCAGATCTCCCCACTTCCAGACGCTTCGCGTAACCCCACTAGCCCTTTCTGGCTAGCTCATGTCGTCCGGGCGTTTGGAGCCTGGCGCCCCACTGGCGACTCACTCCAATGGCCTCCCACTTGCCATCACCCAGCATGACGGAGTTGACCATCCTGGTTCACGTCTCTATTGTGTGGGTCGTGCCATGGCAGGCACCGACTTCTGTGACACTTTGTCCTGTGCACGCGCTCGAGCTCTCAGGATGCCGTCCGCCGTCAGCTCCCCCTTTCAGCTTCGCGGCTGCCTTGTGAGCGGGCCGGCCGGCCTGTGCCTGCTGTAGCTAATTAGCCTCGGTCGTGTCCCGGACTTTGCTTCCCGCCGCCTGACTGTCGTCTCGTGGCCGCGACCGAAAAAAATAGCCCCATTAGCGGAAGGATGCGGCGGATAAGGCCGTCCCACGATGGCCCTCGGCCTACACCAGCGGCTGTTGCCGTGCAGTTCAACCCTGGACGCCCCACCTTGCTGGCGATGTTCTTCCCCACCAGCTTGGCCTCACGCAGCGCTTCCGCCGGCGCTTGCACAGCCGTGCGGGGATGGCCCCCTGCAGGATCGGTGGCTACTCATGTTGCGCGAGTTGACGGCCCCTGGAGGCATAGCCTGCTTCGAGTGGTTCAGCCTTCGCAGCCTCGGCCGCCCTCCGGGCCCACCCCACCCCCAGCTGGTATTCGACGTTTTTTCGGCGGAGCAGCACAGTTGGAGCGCACACGCCGTTGGCGCGGCTTGGGGTTGGCGCCCCACTGGCGCCGGCCCATCGCTTACCACGTCTGGTCGCCACAGCGCGTAACACAGAATTCCCTTGCATGTTGCCGCAGGACTGCAAGTTGCTCGAGCTTCCCTGGGCGTTCCAGTTCAGCCAGCCAGCCCCCCGCAGCCGCTGCCCCAGCTGCCGCGTTTGTGAGCTGGCCCGGCCGGCCCGCGCTGCGTTCAGTAGCAAATTAGGTTTGCCCGCCGGCCCGGACATTTTCTCTCGCCGCCTGCGCGCTCGTTGGTGGCCGCGACCAAAAAAGTAACCCCACTAGCCTTCGGTAGGCTTGCTTTTGCTATGTCATTTAGGCCCTCGCGCGGCCCGCTCGGCCCTGCCCGCCCGCTGGTAACAAAAAAGTAGCCCCACTAGTCCATCTTGAAACGACGCCTAGGCGAGTTGCCCTGATCGGGGACGGAGGGTGGGGGGTGGCATGCAGTGGAATGGCCCTCCTGGGCGCCCCTTGGTGCCCTCTTGGGAGTTTCGGGGGCCATCCCGGAGGAAATCGATCACAAAAGGCGGAGTATCCAATTAGGCTTAAGTCGGGTCTGTCCCTCTACACGGGGAATACTTTAGAATAGTCAACAAATATTCGAGGGACTTTTGGGGAGGGGTATTTTTGGGCATATGTTTGAATATTGTTTGAGTAGTTTTTCTTTTTCATCCAAAATCCCCCTGTAAGGGGGACAGGCCCGACCCAAAATTAGGCCGCCCCCCCACCCCGTGATGATCAATAACTTGTGCTGTCTCGCCGAGGCCTTCTCGGACGCTCCAGTCGGTCGCGAGGTGCCGCATCCAGGTCCAGAGGAAGGGTCGGGGGAGACAGGGCTGGACCTAAACGGTGTTTTTGGCGATTTCGTGGGCCGTCTTCGTTTTGCGGGAAAGGCGGGTTCGAGACAAAAGCGAGGGATAACGAAAACAAGACGAACACGGAAAACGCTGTTCAGGTCCAGCTCTGACACCTCCTGCACACAAGACACCAAGCCGTCTCGCTCACTCCCACCCGCCCTCCCGACACGCAAGTAGCACCCGAGTGTCCCCGCCAAGAAATATTGCGAAGTGATCGCGCGGCGCCCGCGCATGCTCCAGATTTGGAGGCGAAGTGCATTGTGTACTGTAAGTCGACGAAGGGTGGTTGGCGTGCGAGCAACAAGCAGCATTAGCCCCCCCCCGCCCCTGTCAAACATTACCCTGCGACGCCCCCGGCCCATTTGCATCAAGTGACAAGAGAAAGTGGCCCAATTTTGCCAGGACAATGACCGTGCAGGCGCCGTTACATGTCGCGGAAGTTACATAGGGTGCATTCAAGTGGTACGATCCAAAACAACAACAGACGAACTAGGAGCGAGGGCCCAGGTTTGACGAGGACATGAGGGCGGGAACGAAGGGCAGGAAAAGGACGCGCGGGGGGCCGAACCGTCAGCGCGGGAGAAGCAGAGGAACGGTGGCAAGGGGCAGAGGACGACGACGACGAAAGTGACGGGAGAAGACCGAAACATGTTTTTTTGATTGTAGTACGCTAGGGATGCAGCGGTGCCTGTGCCATGACGCCGCGGCGCTCGACAACTTGATTATGCTTTCTTCTTGTTACTGCAAGAAGCGAGCGAGGTCCAGCTCGCCCGCCAGCTTCCCTGTACGTTTCCTGCATTTGTCAACGCGGGAGCTAAACAATCGGAGGCGCGCGGCCAGGTCTGCGGGCGGCCCGCGACAGCGCCCCGATGGGACCCCCCAGCAGCCTTCGAAAACGACGACAGTTTCGCAAACCGCAACCCCCCCAGCGATGGCGGGGTCCAATAGGAGTCCGGGCGGTGCTCCACTCCGCTGGACCCCCCCCCCCTCGGCCTTCGACAGTGGCGACAGTTTCGCCATTCTGAATGCGCGTGGGACCACACTCCGGTGGCCACCCCAGCAGCCCTCGGAAGTGGCGTCCGTTTCGCAGATCGCAGCCCCGCAGGAACGGCGAGGTCGAATTTGAATCCGCGCAAAACGTAAGTCTGCAGGATCCCCCAGCAGCCTTCGAAAGTGGCGACAGCTTCGCAGATCGCAGCCCCCCAGGAACGGCGAGGTCGAATATGAGTCGTCGCAAAACGTCACTCTGCGGGACCCCCCAGCAGCCTTCGAACGTGGCGAACGTTTCGCATATCGCAGCCCCCAAGGGTGGCGAGGTCGAGTTTAAGTGCGCGTGTGACGTCACACCGCTGGACCCTCCCCCTCCCCAGCAGCCGTCGAATGTGGCGACAGCTTCGCAGATCGCAGGTTCCCAGAAATGGCGGGGACGAGTTCGAGACCGCGCAAGGTGTCATCCGGCTAGACCTTCAGCAGCCTTCGAAAGTTGCGACAGTTTCGCAGATCGAAGGCCCCCAGGAATGACGAGGTCTCGTTTGCGTCCGTGCAAGATGTGATTCCGCTTGGCCCCCCAGCAGCCTTCGGAAATGGCGAAAGTTTCTTTCAGTTTCGAAGATCGCAGCCCCCCATCGATGACGAGATCGAATCTGAATTTGCGTAGGAAGTCACTCCGCTGGCCCCTCTAGCGGCCCTCGACAGTGGCGACAGTTTCGCAGATCGCAGACCCCCAGGGACGGCAAGGTTTAATTTGAATGCGCGTGGGACCCCATTCCGTTGGCCCCCCAGCAGCCTTCGAAACTGGCGACAGTTTCGCACACCGCAGCCCCCCATATATGGCGAGGTCTAAGCTGAGTCCGCGCAGGACGTCACTGAGCTGGACCCCCCAGCGTGCTTTCGAAAGTGGCGACAGGTTCGCAGATCGCAGCCCCCCAAGGATGGCGAGGTCTACTGTGAATCTGCGTGGGGCCCCACTCCGCTGGCCCCCTCAGCAACCCCCGAAACTGGCGACAGTTTCGCAGGTCGCAGCCCCCCAAGGATTGCCAGGTAGGGGGCAAGAAAGCACGCAGGAGGGGGCGAGGTGAGAGGCTTCAGAGAAGGGGACCGGAGGAGGAAAGACGGGAGGATGCGACCACTGTGGTCGATTCAAAATGAGAACCTTACGCTGGAGGGTTAGGACCGAACGCGAAGTGGTTGCAGGGCGCCCGCGCATGCTTCATATTTAGAGGTATCGTGCTCTTCGCTTGTATCGGTTTTTGACAGAAGGTTTACCTGCGCGCAGTCAACAGTACGAGGGCAGCCCTGCGCGCAGCAAGCAATATGAAATGTGAGGGCACCCCCGCCGTCCAAGTCGAAAACATATGCGAAGTGATCGCTGGGCGCCCGCGCATGCTCCAGATCCAGAGTGTACATAGTTGTTTAGCACTGTGGTTGGCCTGCGCGCAGCAAGCAATATGCGGCCCACACATGCAAAGTGGTCGCCGGGCGCCCGCGCATGTCCCAGATTCGGATGCGAAGTGTATTTTAACTTTTTTCGTTGACAGGGATTGGTGGGGGGGCGTTTATTCCTTGTTCTTCATAGGAAACAGTGGTAAGCCCCTCCCAGAAAGGGGAGTAGGGAAGATGGAGCAGGAAACGCCCTACACCACACACGCCCAGATGGCTGGCGGGATTTGCCCTTGTCCGATTTCGTCCTTGTCCTGGTTTGGTCTCGCAGGTGGCGTTGGGGAGATATCGTGTGATATGGTGCCGCCGGCCCGCTTATTACACGCTATCCCCACCTTGGGGTTAGCGTGCACCGAAAAAGCCGTGGCAGTGGGATACCGTGCACAGAAGGGGCCCTCGCGGGTGGGATCGCCTCACAGGGATCGCGTGCCCTTTGGAGATCGATGTTGCACGCTACCATTCCAACGCCGACCGTGGGGCTGTGTGCCTGTGTCGTCCTGCTGGTCCCCAGAGGACGGGGGATCCCGAGCTGGGAAAGTCGCGGTTCCAGAGGCGGAGCATGTCCGACATGCCCGAGCGTCGGCGGCAGGCGCCCGTGCGGGATCGGATGGGCTCCGTGCTCGAGAACATCAAGCAGTGGGGTAACGACCATCTCTGAAGAGGGAAACGCAGCATCGAAGCATAAACGTTCGAAGGTCCGCGCGGGTTTCCTGGATTTGCGCTGGGCCGCGCACGGGATGGCCTCGCGCAGGCCCAAGAAATTCACGCGGATTTTTTGAACAAATATGTCTATGCCCTCTTTTCCTCTTCCACATTTGTTTTTGCCCAAGAAGCAGCAGACCCAGGAGGAATTATTCGTGGAGTACCTCGGGGGGGTGGAGCTGGCTCTCGACCTGCCACTGGACAAGGGCAACCTGGAGAACAGCGTCGCCGTACGGCAGGGACCGATCCGGACCCTGAAGTGGGCTCTCGAGGTGCCAACGAATTTCGCGGAGTACGCCGCCACCCTCACCAGCGACGGAGACCACGGCGTGGTCTGCATCGCCATGCTGTGCACCGTCTGGGCTTGCATCCTCGGTCGAATGGGCCGGAGCTCGGAGTTTGTCACTGGCTTTGAGGTCGACCACGCGTAAGAGAGTCCCTTCGCCTGAGTGACCTCGAGTGCGGGCGCACCCCGGGTCCCCCGATCGCGAAGCGCGATGCTTCAGCAGCCGCCTGCGCGCTTGGGTGTGGCTCCCCGCGGCACCCTAGGGCCGCGCACCCGAGGTTACTCTTGCCCAGGGTCACTCTTGCGTGTAGCCGACGAGGTGAAGGGCGACGGCCGCGATGTCTTCCCCTCTGGCCTGGTCCCGTTGATCGTGCGGACGGAGTCGAGGGATGAGGCACCGCACACTGCTGGTGGCCTCTTCAGGAGCATCATCGATGAGCTGAAGAAGCTGCGCACCAAGAAGGCAGCCCACGGCACGCTCGACTACAGGGAGATCGCGAGGGCGCTGGGTATCAGCATGGCCGATGAGACCAGCCACCCCATCTTCCAGACCGCGTACGTGGTTGCCCCGCCCGTCACTGAGCAGAAGGAGCTGCTGAAGGCCATGCACATGATCGACGACGGCACAGCCCCCCTGACCCTGCAGCTGCGGGTGCAGCCGCCGGGGAGCCCGCCGCAGGGTAGGCCGCAGGAGCTGCAGCTGCAGCTGCTGTTCTGGGAGGACGTCTTCAGCGTGGAGAGTGCGCGGAGTCTCAAGGACCAGCTCGGAGTGCTCTTCGCCGCCATCGGCCAGAGGGTGGACTCCCTGGCGGTGCCGCTGCCAGAGGTGCCAGCCATGAGCCAGAACCAGTATGCCGAGATCAAGGAGTGGAGCGACAAGGCGAACTACAGCAAGTTCAAGCCTGGGCAGATGCACGTCAAGTTTCTCGAGCAGGCCAAGCGGAGGCCCGACGACAGGGCAATCGTGGATTGCCTGGAGGACGGCCGCGCTGTGGAGTACTCGTACAGGGAGTTCCACTCCATGTGCAAGGACCCGAGGAAGAAACAATTGCATACATACAAACGTTTGACCTACCAGGTGGATTATTTTCTTGGTGGGTTAAGTGAAGATCAAATAAGTCCGCGCGGAGCTCCGAAGGCTTGTGTCTGTGCAACGTGCTGTTCCCCACATCCTAAGTGGGGTTCTTGTTTTCTCTGGACACCCTCCGCGCAGGATCTCCTTTCCTCCTCCTCCTCCTCATCCTTCTCCTCTCACTCTCCCTCTCATCATCATTATCATCATCACCATCATCACCATCATCATCGCACTCATCACCACTCATCATCATCATCACTCACCCACCCACCCACCCACCCACCCACTCACTCACTCATTCACTCACTCACTCACTCACTCATGACCGTCACTCGCTTATGTCACCCGATGAAGTCTCAGGCGGGAGCCCCCTCCCTATGGGTCCCGCACTTCATGTTGGTAATCCGAGCGGGTCATCGGCAACCAGTAACTGTCGTCACTTTTGGGCTCCTCAGGCTTGAATTTGGATGAAGTATCAAGCGGGAGCCTCGTCTGTGAGTGAATTGTGAGGAAGTCTCAGGTGGGAGCCCCCCCCCGTATGGGTCCCGCACTTCATGTTGGTAATGTGAGCGGGTCATCGGCAACCTGTAACTGTCGTCACTTTTTGGGCTCCCCAGGCTTGAATTTGGAGGAAGTACCAAGCGCGAGCCTCGTCTGTGAGTGAATTGTGACGAAGTCTCAGGCCGGAGCTCCCTCCCTACGGGTCCCGCATTTCTTGTTGGTAATCCGAGCGGGTCATCGGCAACCGGTAACTGTCGCCATTTTTGGGCTCCTACGGCTTGAATTTGGAGGAAGTACCAAGCGGGAGCCTCGTCTGTGAATGAAATGTGAGGAAGTCTCAGGTGGAAGCCCCCTCCCTATGGGTCCCGCATTTCCTGTTGGTAATCCGAGCGGGTAATCCGCCGAGGAAAATCGATTTGCTTGCCCCGACCAGAGGGAAGGGGAGGAACGCGCGGAGAAGAAGCAGGGGAAGGACGAGGACGGGGAAGGGGTAGGGAGGGGGTGATGATGAGGAGAAAGTGGAGAATGATGAGGAGGAGGAGAAATAGAAGGAGGGGGAGCAGGTGAGGGCAGAACGGCGGGCGAAAGGAGAGTGTCCGTCAGGGCGAGGAGGAACAGGGTAAGGGCAAGCTAAACATATTCTCATGTGGGGTCCTTCCGTCGGAATATTTTTTCGTTCCGTGTGCGAGGACGTGTGCAGCGTGCTGACGGACGAGTTCGGCGTGGGTTTCGACCAGATGGTGCCGCTCCTGTTCGACCGCGGCGTGATGATGCTCGTGGCGATCTACGGCGTGCTGATGGCTGGCGGCGCGTACGTCCCGCTCGAGCCGCACTACCCCAGCGCGAGGATCCTCGGGATCTTGCAGCAGCTCATCCCCAAGGCAGTGATCACGGTGGACACGCTCCTCGACAAGATCACGCCAGACGCCCTCCACGCTGGCGCTCCATGCGTCCCAGATGGGGTCCGAGTAGATGGGGCCGAAGGATCGCGCCGCATCGCCGACTCATCGCCAGTGCGGCTCGATGTGGAGCTCGACTTTCTCTCCACGTCGACGTAACCAATGCCTCGCCGATGTCGGCGATGCATCGGCGGTGCATCGGCGACGCATCGGCGAAGCGGCGCGATCCTTCGACCCCGTCTCCTCGGACCCCATTCGGGAGGCCTCCAGGCACCCTGTCCTGGGCCGTGGTTCAGCTGAGCGCGGTGAGCCGCAGCATGGGCAGGACCACCGTCGCGCACAAGGACCTCCTGCAGATCCGCACCGTCCCTGCGCGCCCGCCGCACACCGGTGCCGCGGAGAGCATGACGAGAGCGGCGCTGGCGCGGCAGGAGTTTGTGGCATCGTCAGGGGGGGATAGCGCACGTCTCCCAGATGGGACCCGAGCATCAGACGATGGCAAACATGGATCAAGGGAGCGTGGAGTAGCGACGGGTCCCGTTTCCATGGGAAATCGCGGATATCCGCCGCCGAGCGAGGCGGCACGGGCCGCATTTTGGGGAGGGCACCTCCCTTGATCCATGGATTTGGGCGACCGCGCGCCAAATCCATAGATTGCGCGCCCCCGAGAGTAGACGTGGTCGGAGGATCGCGCCGCATCGCCGATGCATCGCCGACGCGGCCCGATGCGGAGCCCCATTTTCTCCGCGTCGCCGTCGCTGGTGCATCGCCGATGCATCGCCGATGAATCGTCGATGCAGTGGCGATGCGGTGCGATTTTCCGACCCCATCTGCCACCTAGGAGTCTTCGAGATTTAAGTCGGCGTGTCTTTGCACAGGAGGAATATTCAAAAATAATCAAAGAAATAGTCTGGGGACGATTTTTGATTATGTTTGAAAAAGTTTGTGGAATGTTCAAGGTATTTCTAATTTTCGTCCAAAATCCGCCCGTAAGGGGACACGCCCGATTTAAGTCTAGACAAGCCTCGGGGGTCATGCATCGACCCCCGCACGTGCGGATTCGTGCCACTGCCTATCGCCGATCTACCGGCGACTTGTCGCTAGTCCGAGTCGATGTTTCCCCTCCTACCGGGTTCTCTTTCTTACGTATTTGGAGAAGCAAGAATTGCATAACACACATTGTCGGAGCTCAGCGTGGATTTCTTGGATCAGGGTTGGCCCCCTTCCCTGGCGCGCAGGTCCGAGGTTGGAGGCGCCGCCAGGGAGGGCCCCGCGCAGGCCCGAGAAATGATTCACGCTTCGCGTATCCTCACCAGCTTGTCGGCATCGGCGGACACGGACGTCGGTCAAGGCACCGTTCTGGCGCTTGTGTCAGACGTTGGCTACAGCCACAGGAGAGCCTTCGGGGTGCGCAAGCCGCCCACCGCCTTGGTACCAGAGGCCATCGCGGGCGCTCTCCTTTGTGGTCGGCCTTCTCCAGGCATTGACCCGAACCTCCTCAGCGGCGTACAGTCTGGCCCACGTTCCAAGTGAGTGAATGGTTTTGGCACGTTCCGCCTGGCAGTCTGGCCCCACCTGCGGGTCCGACCTTTCTGCCCTCCCTAATTTCGCTGGCATGCGCTCAGCGGCTTCTGGGGTCCGCGTGGTGGCGCCAGGGCTTCAGCTGGTATCTTCTCAGTTGCACCCTTTGCTGGCACATGTCCAGCGTTGGTAATTTTCTGCTGCTGGCACATGCTCAGCTGCTTTTGGTAGTCGCGTGGTGGCGCCCGGGCTTCTGCTGGCGCCTTCGCGGTTGCCTTCTCGGCTGGCACTTGTGCTGCGCCGTTAATTATATGTTTTCCCGTGCGCTGTGCCCCAGCCTCGTTCACACCGCCCTCTGGACTTTTCCTTGCGGGCCGCGAATCAAAACAAATATCCTCACCAGCCCAATCATAATCCCTGCCCTCGAGAGCTGACGGGAAAAAGGGACGACGAGACACATCTAGGGAAACAAACCGAGCAACCAGGGTTAACCGAGAGACCTCTGGGAGCAAGGGGGTGGCCTTGGAAAGCCTCTTCGCGCCATCCCTGGGGGCCGCGTGGGGGCGAGAGGAAGAGGAGGAGGAGGAGGAGGAGGAGGAGGAGGAGGAGGAGGCCGATGAGGACGAGGACGCGGATGAGGACGAGGATGAGGAGGCCGAGGACTATGATGAGGGCGACGCGGACGAGGACGCATGGAACCATCTGGAGTTATCATTGCGGCTGCTGCTGCTGGTGCGCTCTGGGTGTTTTTGGGGCCCTTTTGGAACCCTCTCGGTGACCTTGACAGGCGTCTTGGAATCATTTTGGCGGCCGTCGATTACAGGATGAACCCGTATTGGGGGCCTTTCTGGGCCAACGGGGGGCCCTCTTGGGGCGCTTCGGGGCCGTTTTGGAGGCCATCTTGGGCGTCTTGGAGGCCATCTTGGGCGTGTTGGAGGCCTCTTGGGCCGTGTTGGGGCCGTCTTGGAGGCCACTTGGGCCGTCATGGGGCCCTCTTGGGGGCCTCTTGGGCGATCTTGGGTGCATCTTGGGCCGTCTTGAGCCGTCGGAATTCCGAGAAGAAACGAATTCCAAAATCCTTCAAAAGCCTGGCCTCTGCAGGCCCTCCTGAGGCCTCTTGGGCCGTCTGGGAGGCCGCTGGGGGGCCTCTTGGGTCGTCTTGGGCCGTCTTCGACTCTCTTAGGCCGGCTCCCTATGGGGCCACGAAACGCTGCCCTTGCCGGGGAACGGCATGCGAGAGCAGCCGATGGGGCCTTCGGTTGGGCTGCCTATGGGGCCACGAACCGCTGCCCTGGGTGGGGGAACCGCATGCGAGAGCAGCCACTGGGGCCTTCGGTTGGGCTCCCTTTGGGGCCACGAACCGCTGCCTTGGGTGGGGGAACCGCATGCGAGAGCAGCAACTGGGGCCTTCGGTTGGGTTCCCTATAGGGCCACGAACCGGTGCCCTGGGCCGGGGAACCGCATGCGAGAGCAGCCACTGGGGCCTTCGGTGGAGCTCCCTATGGGGCCACGAAGCGATGCCCTGGATGGGGGAATCGCATGCGAGAGCAGCCACTGGGGCCTCCAGTGGAGCTCCCTATGGGGCCACGAAAAGCTGCCCTGGGTGGGGGAACCGCATGCGAGAGCTGCCATTGGGGCCTTCGGTGGAGCTCCCTTTGGGGCCACGAAACGCTGCCCTGGGTGGGGGACCGCATGCGAGAGCAACCACTGGAACCTTCGGTGGAGCTCCCTATGGGGCTACGAAGCGTGTGAGGGGTGTGCCGAGAGCAGAGGCAAGGAGGGGGAGGAGGGAGGAGGGGGAGGAGGGGGAGGAGGAGGAAGGAAGGTGGGACGCGGGGCGCTGTCTCTTCAAAACGAGGACCCAACACCACAGGATGGTTGGGACAAAAGCAAATGCCACAATCCTTCAAAAACCAATGGCAAATCAATGATTTTGGCCTTTTCGGGCCTTCCTTGAGGCCCTCTTGGAGCTCGCTTGGGCCGTCCTGGGCCATCTTAGGGCCATGTTCGGCCGTCTTGGTGGGCTCCTGGTCCGTCTGACGCCGTCGGAAGCCGTTTGGGAGGCCTCTATGGGCCGACTTGGGGCCCTCTTGGAATGCTCCAGGGCCGTCTTGGAGGCCATCTTGGGCGTCTTGAAGGCCTCCTGTGCCGTCTTGGGTGCCTCTTGGGGCTGTCTTGGGGCCCTCTTGGGCCGTTCTGGGGCCATCTTGGAGGCCTTTTGGGCGATCTTTCGGCGATCTTTGGGGGCTCTTGGGCCGTCTCGGGCCGTCGGAAGGCGGAAAAGAAGGAAATGTCAAAATCCGTCAAATACCTTAGGAACATCAATGTGTTTGGCCTCTTCTGGCCTTCCTGGAGGCCTTCTTGGGAGCCTCTTGGGCCGTCTTGGGCCAGCTTCGAGCCAACTTCGGCCATCTTGGTGGGTTCATGTCACGTCTGACGCCGTCGGGAGCCGTCTTGGGGGCCTTTCTAGGCCAAAGGGGGACCCTCTTGGGGGGTCTCGGGGCCTTCTTGGAGGCCATCTTGGGCGTCTTGGAGGCCATCTTGGGCGTTTTGGAGGCCTCTTGGGCCGTCTTGGGGCCCTCTTGGGGCCGTCTTGGAGGCCACTTGCGCCGTCATGGGGCCCTCTGGGGGGCCTCTTGGGCGATCTTGGGGGCCTCTTGGGCCGTCTTGAGCCGTAGGAATGCCGAGAAGAAGCAAATTCCAAACTCCTTCAAACACCTAAGGAAAATCGATGAGTTTGGTCTCTTCGGGCCCTCCTGGAGGACCTCTTAAAGGCCTCTTGGGCCGTCTTGGAGGCCTCTGGGGGGCCTCTTGGGCCGTCTTGGACTCTCTTGGAGGCCGTCTTGGACCATCTTGGGCGGACTTGGAAGCCATCTTGGACCATCTTGGAGGCCATCTTGGGCCATCTTGGACGCCATCTTGAGCCGCTTTGGAGGATTTTGTTTATGGACTTTGCGGTCCTGGAAGGGCCTCCCAGGACCCCGGCGGGACGGGCCGAAGCGCCAGGGGAAGTTCTTTGGGAAAAAGAACCAATACCAAAACCGAGAGGGTCTAGCACGCCAGGCACCCCTGCGATGAATCGACAGGGGGCGGCGGATCGAAGACGCCTACGGCGAATCACCGCCGCCCCCTGCCTTTGTGGAAGCGCCTATGTGGCCGAACGTTGAGGCCAGACCTGCCAAGCCATCGGACCATGTGTTCCCCGAATCGGTTTGGAAAGCCTTCGGGGAACACGTGGGCATCTTGAAGGTCATCTTGGCCGTCTTGGAGGCCTCTTGGGCGATCTTTCGGCGATCTTTGGGGGCTCTTGGGCCGTCTCGGGCCGTCGGAAGGCCGAAAAGAAGGAAATGTCAAAATCCGTCAAACACCTAAGGGAAATCCATGTCGTTGGCCTCTTCTGGCCTTCCTGGAGGCCCTCTTGGGGGCCTCTTGGGCCGTCTTGGGCCAGCTTCGAGCCAACTTCGGCCATCTTAGTGGGTTCCTAGCACGTCTGACGCGGGAGCCGTCTGAGGGGGCCTTTCTGGGCCAACGGGGGACCCTCTTGGGGCGTTTCTTGGCCTTCTTAGAGTCCATCTTGGGCGTCTTGGAGGCCATCTTGGGCGTGTTGGAGGCCTCTTGGGCCGTCTTGGGGCCCTCGTGGGGCCATCTTGGAGGCCACTTGGGTCGTCATGGGGCCCTCTTGGGGGCCTCTTGGGCGATCTTGGGGGCCTCTTGGGCCGTCTTGAGCCGTAGGAATGCCGAGAAGAAGCAAATTCCAAACTCCTTCAAACACCTAAGGAAAATCGATGGTTTTGGCCTCTTCGGGCCCTCCTGGAGGACCTCTTGGAGGCCTCTTGGGCCGTCTTGGAGGCCTCTGGGGTGCCTCTTGGGCCGTCTTGGACTCTCTTGGGCAGTCTTGGAGGCCTTGGACCATCTTGGGCGGACTTGGAGGCCATCTTGGGCCATCCTCGCGATTTGTTCAGGATGTCCCGAGCGAAACTGCAGTTTCAGGGAGGATTTGTCATGGAGTTTGTGCACGTGGGCAATCCTCCCGGGACCCTGGCGGGACGGGCCGAAACCCACTAGGAGATTTTTTGTTGAACAAGAACCAAAACCAAAACCGAGAGGGTCTAGCACGCCAGGCACCCCTGCGATGAATCGACAGGGGGCGGCGGATCGAAGACGCCTACGGCGAATCACCGCCGCCCCCTGCCTTTGTGGAAGCGCCTATGTGGCCGAACGTTGAGGCCAGACCTGCCAAGCCATCGGACCATGTGTTCCCCAAATCGGTTTGGAAAGCCTTCGGGGAACACGTGGGCATTTTGAAGGTCATCTTGGCCGTCTTGGAGGCCTCTTGGGCGATCTTTCGGCGATCTTTGGGGGCTCTTGGGCCGTCTCGGGCCGTCGGAAGGCCGAAAAGAAGGAAATGTCAAAATCCGTCAAACACCTAAGGGAAATCCATGTCGTTGGCCTCTTCTGGCCTTCCTGGAGGCCCTCTTGGGAGCCTCTTGGGCCCTTTTGTGCCGGCTTCGAGCCAACTTCGGCCATCTTGGTGGGTTCCTGGCACGTCTAACGCCGTCGGGAGCCGTCTTGGGGGCCTTTCTTGGCCATTTGGGGACCCTCTTGGGGCGATTCGGGGCCGTCTTGGAGGCCATCTTGGGCGTCTTGGAGGCCATCTTGGGCTTGTTGGAGGCCTCTTGGGCCGTCTTGGGGGTCTCTTGGGGCCATCTTGGAGGCCCATTGGGCCGTCATGGGGCCCTCTTGGGAGCCTTTTGGGCGATCTTGGGGGCCTCTTGGGCCGTCTTGAGCCGTCGGACTGCCGAGAAGAAGCAAATTCCAAAATCCTTCAAAAACCAATGGAAAATCAATGATTTTGGCATCTTCGGGCCCTCCTGGAGGACCTCTTGGAGGCCACTTGGGCCGTTTGGGAGGCCTCTGGGGGGCCTCTTGGGCCGTTTTGGGCAGTCTTGGACTCTCTTGGGCCGTCTTGGAGGCCGCCTTGGACCATCTTGGGCGGACTTGGAGGCCATCTTGGACCATCTTGGAGGCCATCTTGGGCCATCTTGGCCATCTTGGAGGCCATCTTGGAGCCGTCTTGGGCAGAAAAGTAGGGAATTCAGGTCCGTGGCAATCCTCCCAGGACCCCGGCGGGACGGGCCGGAGCTCCAGGGGGAGTTCTTTTGGAAAAAAACCAAAACCCAAACCGAGAGGATCTAGCACGCCAGGCACCCCTGCGATGAATCGACAGGGGGCGGCGGATCCTAGTGGCCTTCGGCGTGCCTGGGTTCTGGGTCTGAGGCCTCTTGTATATGTGTTGGGTTGTCGTGGGAAGCCTCTTCGGGGGCCTCTTGGGGGCGGTTTGGGCGCCTCTTGGGGGCCTGTTGGGGCCTCGTGGGGTATCATTTCGGCTTCTTGGAGGCATCTTGAGCGCCTCTTTGGGTCTCTTGACGGCCTCTTGACGGCCTCTTGGGGCCTCCTGCGGGTTATTCGGGACCTCGGAGGCGCGTAATTTACACAGGATCGTGGCCTCAAGGACGCGAATATTGCATGATTTACCAGGGTGTATAGCCTCGGGGACACGAACATTGAATAATTGTCAAAAAAGGTTGGTGGCCTCGGGCCCGCAAATATTGTATAATGTACCAGCGTTTATGGTTTCGGGAACGCGAACATTGTGTAACTTATGAGGGTGTATGGCTTCGAGGACGCGAATATTGTATATTTTAAAACGGTTTCTGACCGCGTGGGCGCGAATTCCATGTATTTTCACGTGTCCCACAGCCCCGCAGGAATTCAGAGAACGCGATCCGGGCGTGGTAACCAGGTTCTTTTCGGCCCCCCCCCCGCGCGGACTTCAACAGTTTACAGGAGGAAACAGAAAGTAAGACGATCGCATTGGGAACTGGAACCTGCAACTGCCGTAGGAAGCAGAAAGTAGAGCTATCACACTGGAAACTGGAACCTGCAGCTGGTGCGATGGGCAGGACACCTCCGCCACGCAGCCTGATGGCCCCGCAAGGGGGCCGGCGGATATCGTTCGCAGTGCCGTGTGCTAACGGATATTCAACTGCCAGCATAGATGGCTCGCTGGCGAGACAGATAATGTAGCGTGTGACATGTTTATGTCGTGTTTCGTCCCTCCACCTGCCATCGCTCGGACGTGTTTCTTTTTGTTTCTCGGCGAGAACCATCGAGGAGCATCCTTGATCATTTGGCGAAAGACAGCGCACAAAACCGAAAAACAAACACAGGGAATTGACGTCCGAGCGATGGCCAGTTCCACTGGTCACCACCCACCAAGCCACCCCAACCCAACCCGAAGGCTCAGATTTACCCTCGATTTCCAGTGGGGGGGGTGTCGGGAAACATAGAAAAAACATGTGTGGGACCCTTACCCCCCCCAACCCGAAATTCGGGTCTTCGGGTTGGGTTGGGGTGGTCTGGTAGGTAGTCAACTGGCGTTGCCGCGCGAGGAGGCGGGCCAGGGGCTCGTGTACGTGTTCTTCACGAGCGGCTCGACCGGGGTGCCGAAGGGCGTCCAGGTCGAGCACGCGGGCCTGCGGCACAGGTCGAGAGGAGGAATATGCAGGAGAGGAACAAACACACAGACACAATGAATCGTCGATTCCCCAGACAATATGGGAAAATATGGGAAGTGGGGGGGAAGACAGAAACCCAGAAAATATTTGAAAATATATGGAATTCTTTTATGTGTGTGTGTTTATTTGTGTGTCCCAGGGCCCCTTTTAAGTATTTCCGAAAGTTCCAAGATTTATACAGTGTTCCACACGGGCTGCAGAAACGAGGGTCGCTAGATACGTTTTGGAATTCCTGGCACATATCCTTCACTACCTACCAAACCACCCCAACCCAACCCGAAGGCCTCAATTTCCCCCCATTTCCAGTGGAGGGGGGTCGGGGAACGTTGAAAAAAAACATAGAACCCGTACCCCCCCCAACCCGAAATTCGGGTCAAATTCGGGTCTTCGGGTTGGGTTGGGGTGGTCTGGTAGGTAGTCAATCCTGAAGGAGTCGTGTCGTGACATCGTTCCCGCCCCAACAGGGTGGAGTGGATGCAGGAGGTGTACGGCCTGGGGCCTGGGCAGGCGACGATCCTGAAGCACGCTTACACCTTCGGCATCTCGGAGTGGGAGATGTTCTGGCCGCTGGCGGTGGGCGGCACGCTGGTGGTCCCAAAGCCCGGTGGCGAGAAGGACCCCGAGTACATCTTCGGCTTGTGTGAGAGGTACCCCGTCACTGTCATGTACATGGTCCCCTCCATTCGAAGAAAGAACAACGGCGTGAACATATCAGCACACCGTCGATCCTATCCCCATCCCCATGGGGCTAAGGTATCTCAGCCCCACCATCCACCCCCCTCAAGTTGGGGACAGGCCCCTCGAAATGTGAAGGGAACAGCCTACATATCCATCCAGGGGGAACATCGGCCAGTGTAGCCAAAGCTGTGTCAGTGCGGATGGGGATCGCTTAAACGATGTTCAACATAAGCTTTCTCAGCTCCGCGACGATTTCCTGTATTGGCGCTGTGCCCCACGACGTGCTCCGCGCGCCAGGGAGGGGGCCCCAAAGCCGATCCAATAAATCCGCGCGGAGCTCCGAAACAGCTTCTTTACGCAGTCGTTGTTTCTTCGATCCATGCTTAACATGTTACTCGACTATATTCAGGCCGAGGAGAAGAGCACGGTGGACGCGGGCTTCTCGCTGCGGCAGGTCATCACTTGCGGCGAGCCGCTGACAGAGGAGACGATCCAGCAGCACTTCCAGATGATCAACGAGGCTCGGAGAAGAAGCAAGTGCACAAACATACTGGTTTCCACTGTCGCACAGATTCTTGGATTTGCGTTGGCCCCCCTGTTTGGCGGAGCCCGCTAGGGGCGGCGCTTGAGGCGCCGCCAGGGGGTCCGGTGCAGATCCAAGAATCGACCGTCGAAAGTTCATGGCCATGCTGAAGTCGGGCCTGTCTTCCTACAGGGGGATTTTCGGCGAAAAATATTAAAACTCAAGACATACCCCCAGAATTGTCAAAAATAGCAAAAAAATCGCCCCCAGACTGTTTTGAGTATTTTGCCCGACTTGAGGCTATGCCGCTTTTTGGTTCCTCGACAGGCGGAGCTGGACAACCTGTACGGGCCCACAGAGGGCTCCATGACGGTCTGGCGCTGCCCTCGCGGCCAGAAGATCCCGCAGGTGCCCATAGGCTCGGGGGTGGACAGACCTCCTACCCTGACACGTCGATAAGCGAATTGGCCGTTTTCGGTTCGCGGGAGGGTGTCGCGGCCGTCATTTTTGCGGGTCCAGGTCTGTCGGTTTCGGTCCCAGGCCGTTTTCACTAAGGGGAGGTGTACTACAGGGAGGCTTGTCCACCGCCGAATAGGCACGCCCATCGGCGGCATCCGCGTCTACACCCTGGACACCATCGGGCAGCGGCTCAGCGAGGTGAACGTGCCTGGCGAGATACACTTCGCGGGGAAGTTCATCGCGAGAGGATACCTCGGGATGAGAGAGCAGACGGACAGAGTCTTCGTCGAGGACTCCGTCATGGCCTCGAAGTACCCCGGCGAGCGCATGTACCGCACCGGCGACCTCGCCTGCTGGAAGCCGACCGGACAGCTGCAGTTCCTGGGGCGCGCGGACACTCAGATCAAGCTGCGCGGCTTCCGCATCGAGCTCGGGGAGATCGAGGCCGTGATCCGCGGGGGCGCCGGCGTGAAGAACGCGGTGGTGATCGTTGCGGGGGACAGCGCGTCCAAGGTCCTCGCGGCCTACGTGGCGCCCGCCAGCGTCGACCTGGACGCGCTCCGTGCGCTGTGCGCCCGCCAGCTGGCGCACTACATGGTGCCGTCCTCGTTCCAGAAGCTGGAGCGCCTGCCCGTGACGGACCGGGGCAAGCTCGACAAGAAGGCCCTGCCAGCCCCGCGGATGGACCATCCTGCCACGGGCAGCGTCGGCGGGGTGGTGCCCCCGCGCGACGATTTTGAGGCGACCATCGTGTGCGCCTTTGCGGAGGTGCTCAAGATCAGCGTGGCGCTCATAGGGATCGAGACGGACTTCGTGTCGATTGGCGGGAACTCCGTGCTGGCTGGGAAGGTCACCTCGAAGCTGCGGAAAGACCTGAGGCTGCCGCTGCCAGGCACCGCGCTGTACAAGAACCCCACGCCGTCGCAGATGGCGATGCTGTGTAAGGAGCTGAAGAATGCCCAAGGGCCAGACTCAGAGTCGGCCGGGGAGGGCCTGGACGGCCAGTGCGAAGACAAGGCGATGGAGGAGGAGGACCCCAGCAAGCGCTGGGGCGGCCTCTCCGCAACGCGTCCGGCGGCCATCCTGATGACCGCCTTGTTGCCCGTAGTGGAGCTGCTCCGCGACACGTCCAGCATCCTCAGCTTCGTAGAGATATTGCTGTTCAAGCTGCTGGTCAAGAGATTCCACTTCGACGTCAGTGGCTGGAGGCTCTTCGCCGTGGTCGCCTTCATGAATTTCGTCGTGACCCCTGCTATGATCATCTTCGATCTGCTCATGGGGCTCCTGATGAAGCACGTCTTCATAGGGAAGCTGCGGCCCGGTGCCCACCCCGTCTTCTCGGTGGCCTACTTCAAGTGGCTGTACAGCCAGAAGATTATGCAGACCGTGGTCAAGGCGCGGACAAGATTCATACACGCATCCGCTGCGTCTCGGATTTGGGGATTCCCTGCCCGAGCAGACCGAGACGCAGTCGATGTGGGTAGAAGTCTTGCCCGCAAAAGGCCTTCCAGGCCTACTTCATCGGCACCCCCGTCCTGAACATGGTCTACCGCTGTTTCGGAGCGAAGATCGGGCGGGGGGTCGTTATCCTCACGCGGGAGGTCTTCCTGGAGCCGGAGCTCATCACCATCGAAGACAACGCCCTCGTGGACGACGAGGCCAAGGTCACCTGCTCGTCCATCGGCGACGGCAGGCTCCTGCTGAGCCGGACGCGGATCGGCCGCGGAGCGCGTGCCAGAGCTTACTGCTCGGTTGGCCGAGGTTCAGGAGGGGAAGACACACACACAGACACAATGAATCGTCGAGTCCCGAAAAAATATGGGAAAATATGGGAAGTGGTGGGGAAGACAGAAGCCCAGAACATATGGGAAGACATGGGGAATCCTTTTATCTGTGTGCACTTCTTTGTGTGTCCTTTGGCCTCCTTCAGAGGTGCGCACCTGCCTGCCGGCCACGAGCTCCTCTCCACCAGCTGCCTGGTGGGCTACGGCGGCCGCCGCGGCCAGGGCTTTGTCACCGGCGGCAAGCTGGCGAAGCTAAAGTGGGGGCAGGACGGGCCCCCGGCGCAGCAGCCAGCTCTGCGCACCCTGATCGGTGTCCCCATGCTCTTCTTCATCGACGCGCTCGCCATGCGGGGAACAAAAAGTGACTCAACCATAAAAACTCGGAGCTCCGCGCGGATTCCTCGGATCCACGCTGGACCCCCCTGGCGGCGCCTCCGGCGCCGCCCCTGGCGCGCTCCGCGCGCCAGGGAGGGGGGTCCAGCGCGGATCCAAGAAATTCGCGCGGACCTCAGAGTTTTTATGTTTATGTCAATGTTTGTTCCCCTAGCCATGACGCCCGCCTACGTGCTTTGTCTGGCGATCGTCGACTGGGACTGGGTGCCGTACATGCTCATGCTGGCTATCGTAGGGGAGCACCTCGAGCGCACTGCGCTCGTCGTCCTCACCGTGGTCTTCAAGTGGCTACTGGTAGGGCGCGTGCGCCCGGGTCTGAAGGCGAAGCACGGCAACTGGAGCCGCATGTGCCACTGGGTGGTGGAGACCCTGCTCGAGCGCGATGCCTTCAAGGAGGCGCTGGAGGGATTCATCAACACCGAGGTGCTCAGGCTAGTTTTCGTGCTGCTCGGCGCAACCATCGGCAGACGCGCAAGCATGGACATGATCTCCTGCCGCACCCCCGACCTGCTCACCATCGGGGACTACATGCTATTCGGGTCCAAGGTGGGCATCGTCTGCGACGACGAGACGAGATGGAAGGGAGTGCAGATGTGCCGCGGCGCCAACGTGCTGGACAACTGTGTGCTCTGCCCCGGCGTCACCGTGGGCCAGCGCGCCATCCTCGGCACCAACACGCTGGCGGCCCCGGGGCAGTATTTCCCGCCAGACACGATCAACACAGGGAACAAGGGTGGCCAGGCCGTCTTCCTGAGGAAGAAGGGCAGAGGCACCCCCGAGAGCGTGGCCATGGAGGCCGACGCAAATCGGCGGCTGGAGTCGCCGCTGGTCTGGACGCTGTTCAACGTAGGACTCTGCCTCACTGCTCTGCTGGAGCCGGTCTTCCGATCTGTGAAGACGTTGCCGCTGATGGCGGCGGTCCTTATCGCGGAGGACTGGCAGCAAGGACTCGTCATATCTGTGATGTCGATGCTCCTCGAGGAGTTCCTGGAGGCGTTGCTGCTGTTCATACTGAAGTGGTGCATGATCGGAAGGTTCCGGGAGCGGAGCGTACCTTTTTTTGGCATCGACCATTTTTTGTGGATGGTGTGGTTGATGATCAGTTGCACCTTCAACCACCTGGACGGCTTCCACGGCACCGCGCTGTACAGCTCCTTCCTGCGCGCCATGGGGGCCCAGGTGGGCAGAGACTGCACGCTCTTTGGCTTCACGCTGGAGTTCGACCTCTTGTCCATCGGTGATCGTGTGAACGTGGGCCTCGACTGCGACAACACGTGCCACACAGTGGAGAACATGATCCTCAAGATGGTCCCGATCAGGCTGGGCTCCTACAGCACCATGCAGAGGCACAGCTTCGTGATGCCCGGCGCGGAGCTCGGCGAGGGCGCGGTGCTGTTCGAGGAGTCCCAGGTCCTGAAGGGCGAGACGGTGCCCCCGAACGAGATCTGGGCCGGCAACCCCGCGGAGCCCACGACGATCCGCCGCCCGCGCCTGTGGGCCGTCCCGCCGGAGGAGCGGCGGCGCGCCAAGGGAGGGGAGGCAGAGGTCGGGGCGATCGGAAGGGGTGCGGGAAGCTTGGCATCGCTCGGACGTGTGCATTTTTCCTTCGGCGAGGACCACCGAGGAGCACGCTTGATCATTTGGCGAAAAAGCCACGCACGAAACCGAAACAAACACCGGAAATGGACGTCCGAGCGATGGCGAGGAAGAGGGGGTGCGGGGATCGTCGGCGTCTCTGCTCCCCCCTCTGCAGCATGACTCGCCGTCGGCGTCGCCGCGGGCGTCGTCCATGCGAGGCACGGGGGCGCATGTCCGACAGCGACCGCCGTCGGTTCGGGACAGCGCTTGCTGCTGGGCACCGTGCCCACTGAGCCGCACCCGCTGCAAGCGTTCCGAAGTGGGGGGGGGGGGTTCGCTCAAGGTTCAGAGGTTCCTCGGCCTCGGGAGGAGTGCTCTGGTCAGGAGGGAAAAAAAAACACACAGACACAATTCATCGTCGATTCCCCAGAAAATATGGGAAAATATGGGAAGTGGGGGGGAAGACGAACACCCAGAAAATATGGGAAAATATGGGGAATATTTGCATTCGTGTATTTATCTGTGTGTCCTGGGGCCCCTTTATATGGGCCGTTTCCCGCCGCCTTGGAGAGGGACTGCGCCTCGGACTCCGGGGTCCAGCGAGAAGGAGGCACGCGCACGGCTGCGTACAGGAGCACGGCCCCGCCCCCACACCGCCAGCCTCGTGTCACGAACGCTCGCGCAGAAGGAATACAGTGAGCGGCTTGAATAAGGAACACTTACTTTTCAAAAGGGACTCGGTCGTTCCTGAGGCTTGCATGCCTTATTTACAGTTCCTTATGCGTTATTTGTTATGTATCGTTCCTTATGCGTTATTCCTTGGGATACAAAGGGGCTTCGTTCCTTATATTTATCGTTCCTTAGGTCAGGCCGATGACTGTTCCCTCGAAACCAGCGAAGATCCTGTACACGTCAGGATGGGTCTCGGGATGAGGGGGCCGAGCGGTCTTACACCATCCTTGGGTGCGTGAGTAAACCAGGGCTCCGTGGCCCAGATTCTGCCTGGTCGTTGTACGTTGTCGTCGTCGTCGTCGTGCCCTCCGAGACCAGCCCGCGCGCCCGCGACCCGCCAACGCCCGCCCCCCTCACCCTCCTCGGCAATCGCGCGGCGCTGCGTGCGTGCTCTCTCTCGCTCCTGTTTTTTGCTTCTCCCTCCGCCGCGCTGCCGTGAGGAGCCGCGGGCCCTCGCGCCGGTGAGCATCGCCGTCGTCACCCCGGCGGACGACCAGAACGACCTGAGCGCGCCGCTGCTCTCGGTGGGCGCCGCCGCGGTGTGAGGTGCCGACCGCGGGCCGCCCCCCGTGGCTCCGGGGCCTCCCCGTTGGGGCTCGGAGCAGAGGGGATGGCGGAGGAGCGGGCCGCCTCGCCGAGGCGTCGGCGGTGCGGCGTGGCAGGCGGAGCCCGGCGCTCTGCGCGTTTGGGCGCCGCCGAGGCAGCGCCGACGCCGCCGGCGCACTGCTCTTGGCATCGCTCGGACGTGTGCATTGTTCCTTTGGCGGGGGCCATCGATCAGGAGGGGAAAAAACACACAGACACAATTAATCGTCGATTCCCAGGACAATATGGGAAAATATGGGAAGTGGGGGGGAAGACAAAAACCCAGAAAATATGGGGAAATATGGGGAACATTTTTATTTGTGTGTATTTATTTGTGTGTCCTGGGGCCCCTTCAATCGAGGAGCATCCTTGATCAGTTGGCGAAAAGGCAACGCACGACACCGAAAAGAGCACAGGGAGTGGACGTCCGAGCGATGCCAGGTGCTGGTGCATCGCCGGTGCATCGCCGGTGCACTGCCGCTGCATCGCCGATGCGGCGCGACCCCCAGACCCCATCTACTCCGACACCCCATCTGGGAGGCCTCCAGTGGCGCAGTGTGCTGGGCCGGCGCCGCTCGCCCGCGCACGCGTCGCTCCGAGGCAGGGGCCGGTGCACCACCTCAAAGAGCTTGGCATTGCGCGGACGTGTGCATCTTACCAGCCTCGAACGTATCCCTATCCCTAAGATCGACACGCCAAAAGGCGATGACAATCTTAGGGATTCGCCCTCAAAAAATAAGGGAATCCCTAAGATTGGCATCGTGATGAGGAGATGCCCAACATAGGGATAGGGATATGTTCCAGGCTGGTAAGCATCTGTTCTCGGCGGGGACCCTCGAGGAGCATCGAGCCAAGCAAAGATCACGCACGACGCCGGAACATGTACGGGGAAGCGGCGTCCGAGCGATGGCAAGAGAAGACACAATTGCACAACAGATTCTTCAGGCTTGCGCCGCATCCAGCGACCCCCTGTACTGTCGTTCGCGTCTTGGGTGGGGGCGGGGGGTCGGGGGGCAGGAGGAGGAAGACGATCGACGAGAACGGGGAGGAACAAGACTTCGCATCGTGTCAAAAACGCGGCGTCTTTTGTTGGGGGGGGGGGCTGTTTTCTGCTTCCGGGAGCCTTCGACGGGCCCTAGAACTGTCGAAACATTGGTCGTGATGAGAAGCTGGGGAGGGGGTCTGGACCTCTGTGGCCGAAGTCACGACGACATCACGACGTCTGAGGTCAGGGCAAAGGGAGTGTGGGCGGGAGGCCCCAGGACGCTTAGGAGCACCCTTGGGGACAACGAGAGCTTCCCCGGGAGGACTTCTCGTCCCGGTCTTGTTCCCAATCATCTCGTGGTGTTTAGTCCTGGTTTTGAAGAGACGGTCCCCGCGTCTCCTTCCTCCCGCTGCCCGCCCTCCTCCCAGTGATCGGCACCATTTCCATTATCATCACCCCTCACACACTTCGTGGTCCCATAGGGAGCTCCACCGAAGGCCCCAGTGGGGGTGGCCACACGCGTCCGCCACACCCAGTACAGCGCTTCCTGGCCACATAGGGAGCTCCACCTAAGGCCCGTGTGGGGGTGGCCACATGCGTCCGCCACACCCGGTACAGCGTTTCGTGGGGCGCCATAGGGAGCTCTACCGAAGGCCCCAGGTGGGGTGGCCACATGCATCCGCCACACCCAGTACGGCGTTTCGTGGCCCCATAGGGAACCCCACCTAAGGCCCCAGTGGGGGTGGCCACAGTCGTCCGCCACACCCAGTACAGCGTTTCGTGGCCCCGACGGGAGCTCCACCTAAGGCCCCAGTGGGGGTGGCCACATGCGTCCGACACACCCATCACAGTGCTTCGTGGCCCCATATGGAGCTCCATCTGCGGCCGCCACACCCCGTACAACGCTTCGTGGCCCCATTGGGAACTCCACAGAAGGGCCCAGGTGGGGTGGCCACATGCGTCCGCCACACCCAGTGCATCGTTTCGTGGCCCCATAGGAAATTTCACCTAAGGCTCCAGTGAGTGTTACCACATGCGTCAGCCACACCCAGTACAGCGTTCCGTGACCCCATAGGGAGCCCCACCCAAGGCCCAAGTGTGAGTGGCCACATGCGTCCGCCATACCCAGCACAGCGCTTCTTGGCCCCATAGGGAGCTCCACCTAAGGCCCCAGTGTGAGTGGCCACATGCGTCCGCCACACCCAGTACAGCGTTCCGTGGCGCCATAGAGAGCTCCACCCAGGGCCCCAGTGGGTGTGGCCACATGCGTCCGCCACACCCCGTACAACGCTTCGTGGCCCCATACGGAGCTCCACCCAAGGCCCCAGTGTGAGTGGCCACATGCGTCCGCCACACCCAGTGCAGCGTTTCTTGGCCCCCAAGGGAGCTCCACCTAAGGGCCCAGGTGGGGTGGTCACAGTCGTCCGCCACACCCAGTACGGCGTTTCGTGGCCCCATAGGGAGCTCCACCTAAGGCCCCAGTGGGGGTGGCCACAGTCGTCCGCCACACCCAGCACGGCGTTTCGTGGCCCCATATGGAGCTCCACCTAAGGCCCCAGTGGGGGTGGCCACATGCGTCCGCCACACCCATTACAGCGCTTCGTGGCACCATATGGAGCTCCATCTGCGGCCCCAGTGGGGGTGGCCACATGCGTCTGCCACACCCAGTACAGCGCTTCGTGGCCCCATAGGGAGCTCCACAGAAGGGCCCAGGTGGGGTGGCCACGTGCGTCCGCCACACCCAGTACAGCGTGTCTTGGCCCCAAGGAGGTCTCCACATAAGGCCCCAGTGGGGGTTGCCACATGCGTCCGCCACACCCAGTGCAGCGTTCCGTGGCGTGATAGGGAGCCCCACCCAAGGCCCAGGTGGGGATGGCCACATGCATTCGCCACACCCAGTACAGCGCTTCTTGGCCCCATAGAGAGCTCCACCCAAGGCCCCAGTGTGAGTGGCCACATGCGTCCGTCACACCCAGTACAGCGTTCCGTGGCCCCATAGAGAGCTCCACCTAAGGCCCCAGTGTGAGTGGCCACATGCGTCCGCCACACCCAGTGCAGCGTTTCTTGGCCCCCAAGAGAGCTCCACCTAAGGCCCCTGTGTGAGTGGCCACATGCGTCCACCACACCCAATACAGCGTTTTTGGGGGCCTCATGGGGAGCTCCACGCAAAGCCCCAATAGGCTGGCCACATGCGTCCGCCACACCCAGTACAGCTCTTCGTGGCCCCATAGGGAGCTCCATCCAAGGCCCCAGTGGGGGTGGCCACATGCGTTCTCCACACCTGAGTTTCGTTGCCCCATAGGGAGCTTCACCCGAGGCCCCAGTGGGGGTGGCCACATGCGTCAGCCACACCCAGAACAGCGCTACGTGGCACCATAGGGAGCTACACCCAAGGCCCCAGTGTGAGTGGCCACATGCGTCCGCCACACCCAGTACAGCGCTTCGTGGCCCCATAGGGAGCTCCACCCAAAGCCGCAGTGGGGGTTGCCACATGCGTCAGCGACACCCAGTACAGCGTTTCTTGGCCCCATAGGGAGCTCCACCTAAGGCCCAAGTGGGGGTGGCCACATGCGTCCGCCACACCCAGTGCAGCGTTTCTTGGCCCCCAAGAGAGCTCCACCTAAGGCCCCTGTGTGAGTGGCCACATGCGTCCGCCACACCCAGTACAGCGTTCCGTGGCGCCATAGAGAGCTCCACCCAAGGCCCCAGTGGGTGTGGCCACATGCGTCCGCCACACCCCGTACAGCTCTTCGTGGCCCCATAGGGAGCTCCACCCAAGGCCCCAGCGTGAGTGGCCACATGCGTCCGCCACACCCAGTACAGCGTTGCGTGGCATGCGTCCGCCACACCCAGTACAGCGCCTCGTGGCCCCATAGGGAGCTACACGCAAGGCCCCAGTGAGGGTGGCCACGTGCGCCCGCCACACCCAGTACAGCGCCTCGTGGCCCCATAGGGAGCTCTACCTAAGGCCCCAGTGGGGGTGGCCACATGCGTCAGCCACCCGGGACGGCGTTTCGTGGCCCATAGGGAGCCCCACCGAAGGCCCCTTGGGCACCGCCCGCATGCGTCTCCTCCACCCATTACGCATGGGCCCTACTGCATGTGGTTGGGTCCTTCGCCAGGATAGTTTTTGAGGGCCCTGGGGTTCGACAGTGGCCCCCAGGAGGAGGAGGAGGAGGAGGGGAAGAGGACGTGGGAAAGTGAACGAAAGGAGGGCGCTTTGGCTGGGGGCGTCCTGGGCCAGACGATCGAAGTAATCGTTGGAGTCCCCAATGTGAACGGTTCTTGGGACTGCTCTAAAGCCGTCGGAAACCATCTGGGAAGCCTCTTGGGCCGTCGTCGGGGTCTGTGGGGCAGTCTTGAAGCTTCATTGCCGTCTTTGGGTGATCGTGGGGGGCCTTTTGCGACCGCGGTCGGGCTCCGGAACCGTCGAATCTGTCGGTGCCGTCGCTCCATCCGCTACCGTGCCTGGGTCGTGGTTGAGAGGCCACTCGGATGGCTGACTGGGTATCCCAGGAGGCCTCTCGGTGGCTTCCTGGAGACAGTTTGTGGGTTTCTTGGGGGCCCCCTGGGAGCTTCTTGAGGCCTCCTGACTTGGCATCGCTCGGACGTGTGCATTTTTCTTTCGGCGAGGGCCATCGAGGAGCATCCTTGATCATTTGGCGAAAAAAAACACGCACGAAACCGAAACAAGCACAGGGAATGGACGTCCGAGCGATGGCCAGCTGGGGCTTGTGGGAGCTTTGTCAGGGCTCTGAGGGGCCTGAGGGCGTCTGGGGGCCGCAGGCTCAACATGTCTGTTCAAGTTCCCCCTCAGGGCGCCCTCTTGGGGCCGTTTCGGGGCCGTCGGAAGCCAGCAGGGGAGCGTTGTTGCCCGTCTTGGAACCCTTCTGGG